CAGGTGATTGCACGCCTGCCACCCACCTGGGAGACCTGGGTGAAATTCCTGGCTCCGCCCTGGCCATCACAGCCATTTAGGAAGAGAACCAGGGGATGAGAGATTTCTCTGTCTCCCTGTAAACACTGAGTTTCAAATAAATAAACAAATCTGAACAAAAGAAATGTATTTAATGAGACTGTAGAGCGAGGCAGGGCAGTTCTCTCAGTGACCACAGTTGTGGCGTTCCAGTTTGCAGGCACACAGAGCCTAGGCAGATGCTGGAAGCTGGCCTGTGTTGGCTTAGGGCAGTTGTTACTCTTGCAGGAGTCTCATAAGTTGGTTCTCAGAAACAAACAAACAAACATTTAAAAAGTCACTCAGTTATATAAACTTAAAGTTTAAGGGCCCAGCATGGTAGCCTAGCAGTTTAAGTCCTTGCCTTACATGCACTGGGATCGCATATTGACACCAGTTCTAATCCCAGCATCCCTGCTTCCCGCCCAGCTCCCTGTTTGTGGCCTGGGAAAACAGTGGAAGATGGCCCAAAGTCTTGGGACCCTGCACCCGTGTGGGATGCCTGGAGGAGGCTCCTGGTTCCTGGCTTCAGATCGGCTCAACTCTGGCCGTTGTAGCCATTTGGGGAGTGAATCAATGGACAGAAGATCTTCCTCTCTGTATATGTGACTTTCCAATGATAATAAATTTTAAAACCCTTACAATGTAAAACGTTGTATTTTAATAATACAGTGAATGATTTCCTAGGGATATAAGGTTGTTAGTATGTCTGTTTCCACAGTTGGTATACCTATCATAACACTCTCCCAACTTTTCTGTAAATGCGCCAGATTATAGATATTTTAGACTTTGCAGTCCGTGGCTTTATCTGGTTTCTAGCCTGTAGTTTGCTGACCCTGGTCTATTGTGTCCGGATGGCACAATATGTTTTCTTTTGTCCTAATGATTCTTAGGGCTGGTACTGTGGCACAGTGAGTTAAGCAGCCACCTGCACAGCACGCATCCTACCTTGAGTCCTGGCTTCTCCACTTCCAATCCAGCCCCTCTGCTACTGTGTCCGGGAAAGCAGCAGCAGTGACCCAAGTGACTGGGCTTCCTCACGCATGTGGCAGAGGTACAGGGGGTAGAGAGGAGAGAGCAAGCCAGCGCTTTGCTAGTTAAACTCACTTTCTAAATGGCCAGGCTGACGCTGGGAGCCAGGGACTCAATCTAGGTTTGCCACGTAGCTGGCAGGAATCCAACCACTCCAACCATCGCCTGCTGCCTCCCAGCGTGCATCAGCAGGAAGCTGGGATTGGGAGTGCAGTCGGGGGGAGTCAAAGGCAGGCAGGCAAGTGGGCTGGGGGTGGAGTGGCCACAGCACTTTCTAACTCCACGTTCTGTGATGCAGAAGGCAGCTTGCAATTGGTCATGGTGGCAGCGTGTCTTTTCTGTCTTTAGCTGTTAAAATACTTACAAGCAGTCCACAGGATGTGGAGTCTAGCTGGAAGGTGTTTGGGTTTACACATTCTTTCATGATGTGTTCAGGGTAGGGAATGTCCGCTGGAGACCACCCTGAGGAGGAGGAGGAAGAGTCCACCCCACAGGCCAGGCTGTTGGAAGCAGGGACTCAGGATACTTCCTCTGCTAGGTCAGCCACCAGCGCCACAGCTCTCCTCCCACTGGGGACCCTGCTACTTCCTCAGATGCACTGACAGGAGTCCAAAGGACTCAGACCTTCCCTGCCTTCCTGCTGCTTCACAAACCTCACAAGTTCAGTGTCAGAAGGGTCGACCCTCAAGCTTTGCCTGCAGCTTTGAGGATGACTTGGGTACGTGGTACCTCCTTCAGCGGTGTGGGGAGCTGCAGGTGCTGCGGATTCCGTTCCAACTGAGGAAATCTGGGATGGTGCGAAGGCAGGGGCTCTGCGCTGAGTGATCAAAGTCCTGACAGGTTGAGGACCAACGCCCTGCCATCTCACCCTGCCCAATGCCCTTAGCTGGTCCTGTCCTGGCACTTTTTTGAGTGCCATGGCATCCATGTTTGACTACTAGAGCTAATGCATTTATTCAGGCATTTTATGTGTCCATGCTGAGCCAGCTCTCGGCAAGGCCCACGGGCACTTTGCTTCTTGCGGTGGTCTTGGGAGTTGTCAGTTCTCTGATGTCCACAATGTAAAATGTAAAGATGATGTTGACTTCATTCAGGAAGATGTTACAGGGAAGAACGGACAGAGCATCTTCCGAAGTTCCCGCAAGGCAGGAAGGACGAGGGATCTGAAGCTGGATGGAATCTCCGGTTCAGATCTTGGCTGGATGTCCCGGAATGGTCTGACCTTCTCCCCGTCTCCAAGCCTCAACTTCCCCACCTGTGAGATGGGGATGATGATAACTTCCACCTCCCGGGCCGACTGGAGAAAGGGGTGGGAAGGAACATAAAAACCCGCAGCAAGAGGATGTGGTGTCTGGATGCTGCTCATTCTTTTCCTGGTATTCCCACTTCATGTTTACCCATCAACTGCTATACCTGACACTGCAGAGGGTGTCTAGGGTGGTTCTGGAAGCAGTGAGCTGCTTTGCCTCCTGGCAGTACCCCTTGGTCTGCTGTAGGCTTGCACTCGGACTGGGCACAGGAGGGCCCCTGGATATCTCTGGATGGCAGCTTCCCCATGCAGACTTCTAATCAGTCCCCATCTCCTTCCCCCTGGGTTAGGGTACAGCCACAGCCTTCTCATTGGCTTTCCCACTTCCCAGCAACCTGCATCTGTGACATCTCTTGGAATCAAGGTCCATATACACACACACACATCCATAAACACCCTGGCACTACTCCCACCTTCTGTTGGTCCAGGCAACAGGAAGAGAGATCCTGTAATCGCAATCACAGCGTCGCTGTTGTCTGTTCCATGCGATCCCAGGCTCTGAGCTCTGGGGTCAACTTGTGGGTTCAGAGTTAGAAAACCCTGGGCCCTGTCCTGCCCAGCTGAGAGAGCTTGGACAAGTCCTGCCCTGACCAGCAGGATGACAGCAGAGATGTCACAGGGTTGCTGTGAAAAGGTGGTGCCTATGGCCCGCGCAGTGGCCTAGTGGCTAAAGTCCTCACCTGGCATGCATTGGGATTCCATATAGACCCTGGTTCGTGTCCTAGCTGCTCCACTTCCCTCCAGCTTCCTGGTTGTGGCCTGGGAAAGCAGTAGAGGATAGTCCAAAGCCTTGGAACCCTGTACCCTTCTTCCGTGGGAGACCCGGAAGAAGCTCCAGGCTCCTGGTTTCGCATCGGCTCAGTTCTGGCTGTTGAGGTTACTTGGGGAGTGAACCAGTGGATGGAAGATCTTTTTCTGTCTTTCCTTTTCTCTGTAAAGCTGGCTTTCCAATAAAAATAAATGAATCTTAAAAAAAAAAAAATGGTGGTGTGTGTCTGCGAGGTTCTTAGTACACAGGACATCCGTGGTCACTGTGGCTGTTACAGTAATGACCCTGAATGTCACCAGCATTTAGTGGAAGCTCCAAGGTTGAACACATGACCTAATCCCACCCTTGAATATAGAGGGGATTTCTCCGCCACAGCCACCCTATGCCCACATCTGTATTACCACATGGGACCTCAGTCTTGCTCCCATGTAGCTTACTGGTTTTCTTAAATTCAGAACTAGAAGGAAATGACAGTAAGTGGTGTGGCATTAAAGCATTTCTAGTTTCCTAACCCAAGCTTTGTGTACCCCTGGACCCTGGGGGTGGGGCGGGGGCAGCCTGGTTGGGACCTGCTTCCAGTGCCTGCCCCTAGTTCAACCATGACTGACGTCTGTTCGCGGGAGGTGGCCGTGAGGGACATGCATGTCGTGCACCATGCCATGCAACAGAGCCTACACACCCATGCACACACGTGCTCACGAATCGAGGTCCCTCCAGTCCACACAGACATGGTGGGGGGAGTGTGCAGAGCTGAGGCGGCCTGGGGCTGGCTCAGGCTGGCAGAAAGGAGAGCTCGCCAGAACCTAGAGCTGGTAACACCGCGGTTCATCTCACAAGGGCCCTTTGAATACCATCCTGTCCCTGGCCAGGGCAGAGCAGGGGACTCAGAGGCCAGGCCGCGGTCTGCAGGGGGAGGTGGAGGAGGGGGCGGCTGGTGACTGGGGCGGGGATGGGGGTGAAGAAGCTTTGTTTTCTGGGATCCTAGCGTTTCCGCTTCCAGGTGTCTAAGTGAGCAGCGGAGTCGGCCCTTCTCCGGGGCTCTTGCAGACCCCCCGCCAGGGGCCAGGCAGAGGCAGGGAGCCAGGAGGGCGCGGGGTGGGGGCGCATTCTCAAACGCAGGACTCACAGTTCCATCGACTGGCGCCGCCGGGCCACGCACGGGCGTCGGGGGTCCCGCAGCCCCGGTCGCCGCCCGGCCGCCCGGCCCCCTCGGGCCTCCGCTCCCGCCTGCCGCGGCGTCACGCGCCCCGCCCCCGCGGCCCCCTCCCCAGCCCGCGGCCCGGTGCCCTCCCCGGGGGCCGCCCCTCCCGTCGGGCCGCGGCCGCCCCCGGCCCGTCCCCGCCCGGGGCCCGGCGGCTCCGCCCGCGAGAGGCCGAAGCCGCGGCGGCCGCGCCGTTGCCGCCATTGACGTCAGAGGGGCGGGCACATGACCCCGCGGGGACCAATGGCGCGGGCGCCGCGGCTCCCGCAATCGCCCCGGTAGCGCGGCCCGCGGCCCCCGCCCGCAGACGCCCTCGCCGGACGGACGCGCGGACCCTCGCGCCGTCCCCACGCGCGGCGGCGCGGGGCCCCCCGAGACACGCCCGCCCTCGGCCCTCCCCCTGCCCGCTCCTCCTCCTCCTCCTCCTCCCCGCGCGCCGCCCGCCGAGCCCGGTCCAGCGCGGCGAGCATGCACCCGACGAGCTAGGAGGAAGCCGGCAGCCCCGCAGGAAGCGCCGAGCGCCGGCCCAGCCCGCCGGACGCGCCGCCCCCCGCCTCCCGTCCGCGGGCAGCGCCCCCTCCCCTGCGGGCGCCCCCAGCCCCACACCCCCCCACCTTCCCGGGGGGTGGGGGGGTGCGGGCCGCCGGGTCCGGGGGGGCCCCCCGCCGCCCCTCAAGCCCAGGAGCAGTCGCCCCCCGTCCCTCCTCCTCGCCGTCCCCGGCCCGGCGCGGCCATGGATCTGACGAGCAGCTCGGGCGGCGGCGGCGGCGGCGACCCCCGGCAGATCGAGGAGACCAAGCCGCTGCTGGGGGGCGACGTGTCGGCCCCCGAGGGCACGAAGATGGGCGCCGTGCCGTGCCGCCGGGCCCTGCTGCTGTGCAACGGGATGAGGTACAAACTGCTGCAGGAGGGCGACATCCAGGTCTGTGTCATCCGGCACCCGCGGACCTTTCTCAGCAAGATCCTCACCTCGAAATTCCTGAGGCGCTGGGAGCCGCACCACCTAACGCTGGCCGACAACAGCCTGGCGTCCGCCACGGTGAGTCGCCTGCGCCGCCCCGAGGGGCCGGGGCGTCCTCCCGCGGCTGCCCCCCGTGCTGCACCTGGGGCCGGGGAAGGGGACAGGGGCTGGGGTTTGAACCCTGAAACCCAGCCTGGGCGAGACCCCCCCACCCCCACCACACACACACACACACACACACACACACACACACACACACACACACACACCTTCCGCGCCCCGCCCCGCCACCCCAGGGTCTTGGATGTTGGGGCCCAGCCCAAAGTGGGGCTGGGTGTTTGGGGGACCTCGTTAGCCCCTTCGTGCCCCGCCAGCTCTTGCATCTCTGTGAGATCCATGACCCGGGCCTGGTCCCTGAGGGCGGTAGGGGGTTCCCTTTTGGGTAGCCCACGGGCTGTCAGAATCCGAGCTACAAGGGGGGGAGGGGATAAAAAAAAAACCAGGAAAACAAGCAAACAAAAAAATCCAAACCTTAGAATCCCCCTCGCCCCCCAGCATTTCCAGAAGCCGGGTTCTTTTTTTTATTCTTTCCCCGTCCTTTATTCTCCCCTCCTGCCTTGGCTGGCAGAGGCTGGCTGGCAGGCGAAACTGGGTGCCTCCTGTTTAGAAGATCTCAGTGGCACATTGGGGACGGGGTTGCAAGTGGGGGGGGTTGCCCTCTCCGGTAGGGCCCGGGTCCCCGAATGTCGGTGGCCAGCGTGTGAATGTGTGCCATACGTGTGTTTTGCTGCTGGAGGCTTCGTGTTGTTGTTGTGATTGTTTGACTGTATGGCCCGGACTAGGTCAGCTGGCAGAGGTGGAGACGGAAACCATTGATCGGCTGCTGAAACCCAGCCCGCAAATGGTGGCCTTCTTTTCTCGTGGAGAGACAAGCTATGGTGGGGTCGAGGCGAGTGGGGGTGGCGGGCAGGAGCCTGAAGGGGATGCTTTGTGTTTTCAAACAAGGACAGTTGCAAATACCGCAGCTCTGGCTGGGGTTAGAGGGGCTTGGGCCTGAGTCTCCCAGTGGGGTCCCCTCCTCCTGAGGGGCAAATCTTCCTGGGAGTGATCGCCACCTTGCCTCCTCCCCCCTCCCCTCCCACCGCCATCCTGTTTACTAAGCACAGTGGGAGGGGGCAGGCAGAATCTACCGCCTGCCCACACCTGTGCCAAGAAAACCCAGCCAGGAAACAGGGTGTCGCTTCCACGGCATGACACAAGTGTGTCGTGCGTGTAGACCTTTCGCCGGCATCCATGTTCCTTTGGCCGTGTGTCACAGGCCGTGACACATGCTGCAAGGAATGGGGAGGGGGGAAAAGTTCCCAGAAGGATCCTTCTCCTGGCTCCAGCCTCCTAGAGGCACCTGAGGGCTCCGGATCGTGAATTCTGAACCCCCGTCTCCCGTTGCCTCGGCGCCTGTATCTACAGGGACTTCCTCGCTCTGGGAGCTGGCTGGCCCTGCTGCCAGGAGGCGGCCCAGTCCCGGTTCAGGCTGCTGCACATTCTGAAACCTGAGCGAGCCACAAGCCTCCGTGTCAGGCTTTTCTACTGGGTGGATTTGCCTGCTCCGCCCCAGCGAGGACCTGGGAATTGTAGGGTTCTGGAGCCCCCAGATCTGTTTTCAGAATTCCTACCTAGCTGGGAGTGGGGGGAATGGCCTTTTTCTCTGTCGCCCCTCAAATGAGGGGCAGTGGGGGCAGGGGAGAATGGCTGGAATGGCCTCTCTCAAAAGGACAGGTTGGCCTCTGCCCCTACTGGGAGGAATCCAGAGGGCTCTGCCACTCCTCTGTCCCTTTCAGAGAGGTCAGGGGCCCCTGACTTTGCCCTCTGATTGCTTGAGAGGTGTGTCTGGTGGGGAGAAAAGGAGGGAGGGAGGTCAAGGCCAGCGTGTGCTGGCTCCTTAAAAGGTTGGAGAGGCACTGGTCCCCTGGCTCCAGCTCACCTTGCTCATACTGTAGCGCGGGCCTCTGCTAGAAGACCTGGGAGGACCAGTATTGACACTGAGGGTTGTCCATGGAACAAGATTTGTTTTAGCAGAGGGCCTTAGGGAATGTGCAAGGAGGAACCTTGAAGAACCACTTGGGCTGGGGGTGTCCCCATGTGTATTGCTCCTGGGTAGGGGACAGCATACCCCAGGGCTGGCATGCTGCAGGTGGGGTAGCCCAGGTCAGGCCCAGCTGGAGCTGTGGCCTCTGGGTCAGAGATGGGGTTCGGTCTGCCACCCAGGACCTGTCCAGTTATGAACCACCTGGTGAGTGTCCAGGCTCCCAGGAGGCAGGGGAGCCCCCAGGGGTTTCCCTGAGGCCTGGGCATTATGTAATCTGTCTGCATTTTATAGTGCGGCCCAGGCACCCTGCTGAGAAATACTAGCTTGAAAGAAACAAAGGTGCATCAAGTGCACTGTCCCTGGGCCCAGCCTCCGGCTGCCCACGTGTCTAAGCTGCTTTGTATAGGGTCATAGCCTTCTGTGAAATGTATGTGGTCCATATTTTAAGTCAACTCGAAACCATCTGGTAATTATCCAGTTAACTGTGCTGGCTTTAGGAATAAGACCCAGAGTGATTGATCTGGATTCAAACCAGTAAACAAACCAAATACACTCTTTGGCCCAAACGCTCTGCAGAGTCTGTCTACACTGATCCAATTAACTGAAGCATGTGCGAGGAAGACCAGGCTTCCAGAACAAGCTGCATCCAGCTGGGCTGCCAGCCTCGGGTGGGGGGTGAGGGGCTCCCAGGCCTGCCAGGCAGGGGGCTGCAGCTGGGTCCCTCACTCTGATCTCTTGCAAGCAGGGATCCAGGGCTGTGGGGACTGACTACTCTGAGGGGTCTGGGCCACTGCCTGGCCTGGCTGCAAACTTTGCCCTCTGTGGGAGCTGCCCTGTGCCTTGTCTCTGAGCCGGTTACTGATTAAATCCTTGCAGAGCCAACAGCATGCTTCCCATGGCTGGTGAGAGCCAGGTTCGATGCACCCTGTGCTTGGAGACTTTGGATCCAGAAAGCTGGTAAACAAAGAAGGAAGCTGTGTGGTGGAACAGAGATGGGGAGGCTTGGGCCCCCTCCCTGGGCCTGAGGACCAGAGCTTGTGGGGGAGGGGCGTGCCTGCCCAGGCTGTGGCCTGGGGGTGGTGTCTTGTTCCCCTTTTGCATCCGGACTTCCCGGTCCTGGGCCTCCCCAGGGCCCTTGGTGTGTGTCTGTAGGCCGCGGCAGGGCGGCAGGGCGGCAGGGATCGTAGCCTTGTAGCCAGCAGCCAGGGGCTCTGCATCAGCATCCTGTTCGTCAAGAGCAGAATCCATTTTGCTGTTCTTGTCGTCATCCCTGGGCTGAATTTGATCACCTGCTCGACATGTTTGCCCGCTGGCGCGGGGCTTTGTCTGTGGGCTTTGTCTCCTCTGCATCAAGGAAGTACAGGCAAGCTGCTCACCTTTGCTTCTATCTGCCTGTTGTTCAAATGTGTCGCACCATATCTCAGAATGGCGCTTTCTTCATGTGCCAGGTAGGGACCAGGTGACAGTAACGTTCCTCCTTACATGGCTCATTGTTGCGTTTTCACTCCTCTGTTGCCTGCTGGGACTGTTCCCAGGCCTCTGGTCGGGAGTCAGGAAGAAGCCCCCTGGCCGCTTACAGGTCCCTTCCGCCTCTGGGCTTCTGAATGTACTGAGTACCACCGTGTGCCATGTGCATAGCTGAGTCCCACATCCGCTTGGTGTGAGAATTCAAATGTGTGTCCTCCTGAGGAACCCGCGTCCCACGGGAACTCACCAGTGTGTGCAAGCATGCATGCGTCTTCATGCTGTTTCATTTTTTGCCATCTCTCCCTTCCCCCACCTGTGCGTTGGGTTTCTTTGATGGTTTTTTGTGGCAGCGAACTGAGAACTGTTTTCTCCCAATGCCGTTTGCCTTGAGAACCTTTGGGAGTCCTTATTGAGTTTGTTCCTTAGATAGCTCGTGTGATTGGAGATGGTGGGGGGCAGAGGTAGAGGGAGACAGCGTCCCAGTCCTGGTAACAGTTTGTACGGCCAGCGTGTAAGTGCCTCCAAGGAGGGAGTGTGTGTTGCTGTTGCCCTCGGCCTCGTGCAGCCAAGGTGTCCCTCCTGGATCCAGAAGACTGATGCCAATCCAGGTACAAGGTGGCACGCAATGTTCCACTAGCACATCTCTCCCAGCTGACCTGGGAGGTGGCATTGCTGCTGGCCGGCTCTTCTCTCCCAGGTGCTCCTTGGTACCTCACGTGACGGATGGGAAAAGGTGTTTCCAGGATGCTGGCTCAGGCAAGGCCTGGTAGTTCCCTTGTCCTGAAGATGGAGCTGTCCCAGGACACCTCCTGGCTGGCTTTGGGACAGTAGCTTGGCCTCCTCTCCAAGCCAGCTAGGACTAGACACTTAGGAGGCCCGCCTGGTGTTTTGTCTGAATTGACATTTTCCATGGCTTGGTTGTGCCTTTGATTAAGGGATTAAGGGAGATTAAGGGAGGCAGCCTGGTGGAGGGTGTCCACCAGGGGGGTATGGGGTCTGGATTCTGAGCCTGCAGCTTCTTGCTGTGTAACTTGTGATATGTGGCTTTCCCTTTCTGGGCTGTCCCAGGCAGTTTAGGAACAGTTCTCCAGGGGGCATGGTCTAGTTTCTTAAGCAAGGAAAAGGCTCTTTTTAAAAACTGGCAGCAACCGTGTACCTGTGAGAGGTTGTGGGAGGTAGGTAGAAGGGCTTCTTTGTGACTCTGTGTCCCCAAGACGTTGTGCTCTGCTCTCTGGAGGCCAGAATTGGTACCTGTTTTGTTTCTGATGACCTGAAGTATTTTATTTAGGAAACACGCATACACACACAAAGATGAGCTCCTGTTTGCTGGTCACTCCTCATTTTTATGCAGTGGCCAGGCTGGAGAAGGGCTGAAATGGATACCTGGGGATTCAGTGGTCGTGTTCCACTTGGGGAAGGGGTCCTTTGGCCTTAGGCTCCATTACTGCTTTCTAGGGACTGGAGTCAGGGCCAGAGCTGCCTGTTGAGGCCAGCACTGTGGTACAGCACGTGGTGTCTTAACCGA